GCCCAGGTCAGTCTTCTGATTCAATTTCTCCGGTTTACTTTGGTCCAATTCGGTTTTCAATCACTTCAATCAGACCAGACNAAAACATGANTTAGATTNTCCTTACCCGATTTTAAAGATCAAAACAAAACTTTGGCCTCTCTTTCTCTCCATCGTGATTTTGAAAGGTTTTTGAGCAAAAATTTCTTAACCCCTAACTCTCTCGATTCTTCACCGATTTGAGTGATTTTTGGTTGCTTTCCACTCGGTTTTTCTCCCTCTTGCTGATTCTATTAACGTCTCGTTCGATCTACTAAGGTACGTGCTTCTGTCTTCAAATTTTCAGTTCGAAAATTATGGTTCAAAGGTTGGAGTTCGGGTTTATGGNTTGTTCTATTGATGGATTCGTGATTTCTTTTACACCATTCTAGGATNAATTCACATATACCCGTGTTCTATCTCGTTTGTTACTGTGATTTGTGTGTTGAACTTGAGAATTATGTGGATTTTGGGACTTTAGAGAAGAAAACCGGATTTATTATGAAAGCTTGATGTGGTTAGGAGATCAATCTGCTCACTTGGTGGTGAAATTGATTATGATATGCTTCAAGCTTGCGCTACACCATTTTCGCTATGCTTTCTTTGATTTCAAAATTTCGATACACTTGGGTTTTTGGTTGATTTTGCAGGCAATGACTATTGCTGGTGAGAGTAGGAAAAATCCACCACGAAACACATCGCAGCATAAAGCACAGCCTGTTGCTCAACCCGCAAAGACTTCTAAAAAGCGAAAGGGCAAAGAGATAGCCTCATCTTCGGGTCTTAGTGTTGAAGAAGAANCGGAACGTACTACTGCTCCTTGGCCTAGAGGTTATAACACACTTATCATTGCTGACCTGATCCCTGAGTTTCCTTGTATGACCACAGCACAGATGCAGAAGATGACGTGCTATGCAAGCAAGAAGTATGGAGATCCATGGGCTCGATTCAATAGCATTTGCTACAATGGGNTGATACATGTNGAGATNGCCCCGACCAAGTTCATATGCCGGAGTACGTTGAGAAAGATGGGCATTGCAGAGGAGGTGGACAAGATGTTATCTAGGATGGGACTTGGTACACTTGCCTACAAGACTTATCCTCTCTACCCGGAGTTTGCTCGACAATTTCTAGCCTCCGCTGAGCTTAAATTCGATGATCCCAAGCAACCTGTGGCAAGTGAAGCGACTCTTTCCTACCTATGTAGAGGTATCCTTTATGAGATCACAATTCCTGAGTTGTGTGATCTCTATGGTTTTGACACCAGCAAGGAGGATCGTAAGTTTCCGGCCAATTTTCCTGGTGATTTGTGGGACCTAATTGGTACACGGGGACGTTATTCACGTGAGGCTAAGTTGACTTTGATTAGGAATCCTGTACTTCGGGTTGTAGCTAAGATCCTTGGGAATACTTTGTTTGCTAAGGAAGAAACTGGTTCTTTGCGAGATGATGAGTTGTTGTTGNTGCATTATGGTCTTCCTCAATTTATCGAGAGCATTTATGTGGACGATAAGCCTTCTTGTGAGCTTGAAACTAATTTGGGAGCCGCATTTGCTGCATTGCTAGTGCACAAGAANTTTCNTGGCCTTAAGACAACATCATCAAAGAAGNAGTTTGTTGGGAGTCTTTTGACTCCGATTTTTGCGTTTCATGAGCTTGATCTCTCTTCGACACAGTGTGTGAACAAACTTGAGTATTTGGATGAGCAATATCTCAGGAGCAGCGGTTCTCTCAAGCCGACTTTCAAATACCAATTTTATGATCGTGCCGGAGTTTCTCATCTTTGTCAACTCCCGCTTCCTCAGCTTACCGCCATTACCTCCGTGAAGAATGTGGAGTTCCTACTTGATTCTCACCATTTGCTTCCAGCCCCATCAGTGCCTGTTGTGACTAGGCGTCGGGGTGTCTCTTCNCGAGGAAGTGTTTCACAGCCTCACTTGGAGGATGATAGAGTGCCTGATNATTTTGCGCANCAGACATCTCAGACACATGACATGATGGAGAAGCTTCTTNCTGAGTATAGCGGTGAGCATGATCTTACTCTTCTTTCTGATGATGCTACAGATACAGAGCGNTTGGCTTGGCTGGTCGAATCTCAGAGGACCCAACACACAATGGTGACGAAGCTTTGGGGAGCGCTTGCTAAGCTCAGCTGCCCGCGTCCACCTCCTTGCTTCCGCACTAGTACTACAGAGACTCGTGGGGGAGACGATGCCACTGGAGCTGGTCCTAGTGTTGCTGGACATAGGACTTCTGGTGAGGAGGATGAGATTGGAGATGGCCTACGTAAGCGTCAGAGAACACTAGGAGAGAGTCAGAGCGCCAGCTCCGATGACCCTTGATTACAGTATCTCTCCCTCCTTTACCTTTTCGCATTTTTTTAGCGTAAGTCGTATCCTTCTTCTGG